AATCCTGTTGCCGGTCGTGGTACGGGCGCGACACTGATGGTTGCAATCCCGTTACCGGTCACGAAAAAAAGACAAAAAGGAAAAAAAAAAAAGATGGGAGTTTATGTATCCCTTCAACATGATGATTTCCATTTCTTTGGGTATATACCCAGAAGTGGATTGCTGGATTGTATGGTAGATGTATCTGTAGTTGTCTGAGAAACCTCCATACTGTTTTCCATAGTGGCTGTACGAATTTACAGTCCAACCAACAGTGCAGGAGAGTTCCTCTCCACATCCTTGTCAGCATTTGTTATTCTCAGTCTTGTTATTCTCTGGTGGTGGGCTTGTCATAAATGGCTTTTATTGTGTTGAGATACTTTCCTTCTGTATCTAATTTGCTGAGTGCCTTTATCATGAAGAGATGTTGAATTTTGTCAAATGCTTTTTCTGAGTCTAGTGAGATAATCATGTGGTTTTTGTTCTTGATTTTGTTGATGTGGTGTATCACATTTATTGACTTGAGTATATTGAACCATCCTTGCATCTTTGAGATGAATCCCAGTTGATCATTGTGTAAAACTTTTTTGATGTGTTGCTGCATTCTGATTGCTAATGTTTTGTTGAGGATTTTTGCGTCTATGTTTATCAGAAATATTGACCTCTAGTTTTCTTTTTTTGTTGTGTCTTTGTCTGGTTTTGGTATCAGGGTGATCTGGCCTCACAGAATGAGCTTGGGAGAATGGCCTCTGTTTTAATTTTTTGGAATAGTTTGAAGAGAATTGGTATTGATTCCTCTATAAAGGTTTGGTAGAATTGGGCAGTAAAGTCATTCAGTCCTGGGCTTTTCTTTGTTGGGAGACTGTGATTACTGCCTCAATCTAATTGCTTATTATTGGTCTGTGCAGGTTTTCTGGTTCTTCATAGTTCAGGCTTGGTAGTTTGTATTTGTCCAGAAACTGATCCACTTCTTCCAGGTTTTCAAATTTGTTGGTGTATAGTTGTTTATAATAGGCTCGAATGATTCTTTGTATTTCTGTGGTATCAGTTGTAATGTCTCCTTTTTCATTTCTGATTTTTGTTTTTTGAGTCTTTTCCCTTTTTGTTTTTGTTTATCTAGCTAATGGTTTGTCTATTTTGTTGCTCTTCTCAAAAAACCAACTTTCTGTTTCATTGATCTTTTGTATTGTTTTCAGGGTCTCTATGTCATTTAGTTTTGCTCTGATCTTTATTTTCATCTGACTTTAGGATTGGATTGTTCTTGTTTTTCTAGTTCTTTGAGGTGTAGCATTAGGTTGTTTACTTGAAATCTATTTTTTTATGTAAGTGTTTATTGCAGTAAACTTCCCTCTTAGTACTGCTTTTACAGTGTCTCACAGGTTTTGATGTGATGTGTCTATTTTTGTTGGATTAAAGAAATTTTTTGATTTACTGTTTAATTTCTTCTTGGACCCATAAGTTGTACAGGAGCTTTTTAAATTTCCATGTATTTGTGTAGTATCCTGAATTTCATTTGTTACTGATTGCTAATTTTAATTCGTTGTAGTCTGAAAGGATACTTGAGATGATTTCAATTTTTTTTTAAGTTGTTGAGACTTGATTTGTGACCGAACATGTGGTCTGTCTTGGAGAATGTTCCATGTGCTGATGAGAAGAATGTACATTCTGTAGTTGTTGGAGGGAATGTTCTGTAGATATCTGCCAGGTCTTATTGGTCTAAGGTGTAGTTTAAATCCTGTGTTTCTCTGTTGATTTGTTGCCTGAATGATCTGTCCAGTGCTGAGAGGGGTTGTTCATGTCCTCCACTATTATCGTGTTTGAGTCTTTCTCTTTCTTTAGTTCTAATACTGTTTGCTTTATATACCTGGGTGCTCCAGTGTTGGGTACATATTTATTTATGATTGTTATGTCTTCTTGCTGGATAGATCCCTTTAAAATTATATAGTGACCTTCTTTGTCTCTTTTTACATTTTTTAGTTTAAAGTCTATTTTATCCGATATGAGAATAGCTACTCCTGCTCGTTTTTGGTTCCCATTTGCACGGTGTACCTTTTTCCATGCCTTCACTGTTAGATTGTGTGTGTCTTTACAGGTGAGGTGAGTCTCTTGAAGACAGCATATAGTTGAGTCTAGCTTTTTAATCCAGTCCATCAGTCTGTGTCTTTTGAGTAGGTAGTTTAATCCATTTACATTTGGTGGTGTTATTGAGAGGTATTGTCTTACTCCTAGCATTTTATCACTTTCTGTTTGGATGTTTTAAATATCATTTGTTCTTTTCTTCCCCTTTTATTGTTTGTCTTCAGTGTTTGTCAGTTTTTTGAGCTGGTAAGATTTAGTTTCTTTTTTCTTTCTCATTCGCATTTATGTTGTACCAGTGCATTTTGTTCTTACCTGTGTATTTGTGGTAGTGATTATTATTTTTCCAATTCCAAGTTCAGGACTCCCTTGAGAATTCCTTGCAGGGCTGGTTGTGTGGTGATGAACTGCAGTTTTTCTTTGTCTGGGAAATACACTATTTCTCTCACATTTCTGAAGGATAGCCTTGCTGGCCATAGTATTCTTGGATGGCAGTTTTTTGCTTTTAGTATTTTGACTATGTCATCCTATTTTCTTCTCACATTTAGAGTTTCAGTTGAGAAGTCTGCTGTTAGTCTGGTATGGGCTCCATTATAAGCAACATGACAATTTTCTCCGGCTGCTTTTAGGATTCTCTCTTTGTCTTTGAGCTTTGCCAGATTGACTGTAATGTGTCTTAGAGAGGATCTTTTTGGATTGAATCTGTTTGGGGATCTTTTAGCTTCCAGGACCTGAAGGTCTGTGTCTCTCCCCATATCTGGGAAGTTTTCAGTTATTATTTCATTAAATAGATTTTTGATGGCTTTACCTTTCTCCTCCCTTTCTGAAACACCCATGATTCAGATGTTTGTGCACTTAAGGTGATCTGCTAGCTCTCTTAGATTTAATTTTTTTAAACTCTTTCCTTTTTTCTTTTTTTTTTTTTGTCTGCCTGGGTTATTTCACAAAGACCATCTTTGAGATCAGAAATTCCTCTGCTTGCTCTAATCTGCTGCTTAAGCTCTTGGTTGTGTTTTATTTCATTGAATGAGTCTTTCATTTCCAGGTGTTCTGCTACATTCATTTTAAAGTATTAATCACTGTAAATTTCCTCCTGCATATCCTGGATATTTTTTTTTTCTCATTTCATTGTGTTGTCTACTGAGTCTTCTCTTACCTCATTGAGTTTCCTTAAGATAGTCACTCGGACTTCCTTTTCAGTCATTTCAAGGGTTTTCTGTTCTGTAGGGTCTGGTACTTGAGAATTCCTGTATTCCTTTGGTGGTGTCATATTTTCTCTATTTTTTGTACTTGTAATATCTCTACATGATTTCTGGTCCTCTGGTAAATTAGTTTCTTCTATTGCTCTGGAGTGGACTTTGAGGAGGAAGATTTCCTCCTCTTTATCCAGGCTCCTCAGGTGACTCTCCTTGTATCAATGCAGTAAAAAATGCAGTGGGCTATCCACACAGTGGTCATGGCTGCTACTGTCAGCAAACCATCCTTGCAGTGGTAGAAGCTGCGGTGTTGGCTGTTGTGGACCACCTCCACAAAAGCCATGAAGAACCTCCCCCGTCATGGCAGCACAGGCTCCAGCCTTTTGTGTAGGTTGGGCAAGGGGGTGGCTGCCTGGGCCTTCCTGGTTGTGGCGCTATGGGCTTCTGCCTTCTGTGCAGGAGGGTTGGGGGATGGTTGCTGCCTGGAGCCTCCCCAGTCACAGCAGCATAGGCCTGAGCTTCTTTTTCTTTGTCATTTATGTCTTACTTTTACAAGAGTCTGATTTGATAGGATACTACTACATTATTATATTTTAACAAATTGAAGAGGTTTGTTTTTATTTACAGAATTCATTTTATTATATCATTTTATGTTAATTTGGTATGTGCAGATTTGGTTTTAATGTTATGAAATAATCATACCTGTTATGTAGTAATTCCTAGAAAATCTACTATGCTAGACTCGAGGATTGTGACATTATCCGTTTGTGAAAATGAGCTATTCATTCTTCTGTTTAGGCACTTAACATATATCAAAGTCCTAGAAGGCTAACAAAGGAGCTAAGCATATTTTGTTATTTACAGTTTTTTTTCTTCAGTAACTGTAGCTACTGTTTTCTCATTGTATTTCCTATCTTTGTTATACTGTCTAATGGAGAAAACTGACAGATATTTTGAATTAGAAATACTAACTAGCTAACTGGTGGTGCAACCACCTGCTTAATATTTTGAGACAAGTAGATCCTGAGGGTAGTTACTCAATGAGATGCAGTGGTCAGAGAGCATTGAACCAAAAGTCAGCTCACATGGATTTTAATGCCAGATTTTTCATTTAACTGTGTATGAGACTCAAATCATTCCACCTGTTTGGCAACTTCATTTCTTCATAGGGAGAAATTATTATTCCAACCGCCACACAGGATAGTATTTGCAAGGATTAAATAATAAGTAGAGACATTTAGTCAAGTAGAAAACCCCATATAAATGTGATATACAATATCACTGTCTTTGGTTGGGGAAGGGGGGCATCTTAGATTTCTGAAGCGAATAGTGTATTAGCATAAATACCATATCGAGAAAATTTTGATGCAGGTTTAATTAAAATGTAAGTGTGAGTCTTGTAGTCTTTTAATCTGTTTACTTCTTGCAGTCTCTTAATCTGTTTACTTTCTTAGAATGTGTTGTGATAGAGAATCAAGGAAGGTAAATGAGTAGAAAATGAAGAATGATAAGAAAAGGATAATTCATGGTAAAATATTAGATTCATTTTTTTTTTATTTGAGGAGGTGCTTTTGGGATTATTTATTTCTATTAGAGTTCATTTGTAAAGATGCTGCTAATATTTGCCTCCTCGTGTCAGAGAAGTTGCAAGAATTTAGATAATTTTAAGTGTTTTCATATTGTTTAATCAGGTAAATGGGATGTTTACAGCTTAATTTTAGTTATTCTTTTCTGCCGAATTTTAAACAGGTATTGCAGGAATAACTGAAGCAGTTAAGGAGATTACACTGGAAAGCAAGGTACAGTAAATTAGTTACCTTTCTAAATTTAATGACTTAGTCATTTGCATGTGTGTACACACACACACACATTTTGAGATTACTTGTATCTTTCTTGTCCAAATTCTATTTATTATCAAACTCTTGAATTTCAGCAATTCTTTTTCCCCTTTCATTTTTCTACATCAGCATACCAAATCATTACTGCTTCCTAATTTTCCTTAATATGTAGTGTGGTTAGGAAAAACATTTTAGGATTGTAACTGGTACAAACTAATTTTCACTAATTGAAAAGACTTCTTTGTTAGTTTCAAAGATGGATTTTTGTTTTAAAGCACAGTTAGTACCAAATGTTGTGTAAGTGAAGTATTTGAGTGGGAGAGGTATCTACTTGCAGATCAGTCGATGCTAATTATTGAAGTTTAAATAGTGTAATTTAAATACTTCATAAGCAGTTTAATTATTCTCTCTGTATTTTCTTAAATTACTCATGATGTGGAGTTTTGTTTGGTTTTGTTTTTGAAAATTTAAAGGTAAACTTTAGCTTAGCATCACCCAAAATTGTGGCATTTTGAATAAATGGAAACCAAACCAGTTAAGTTTTATTGTATGATTTATTTTGAGGTGAGGCTAAAATAGATAATTGGGTGGAGTTTTTCTGCTTCAAAGTTTTCAGTTAACTCAGTCTGTATATATTATATTAGCTTTTCATTCCTCAGAGAGATTGATTGTTGTCTTTGTATTTTTATATAGCTTGAAATGATATGAAAAATAATATAAAATGCCTTCACCCTTATTTTTTCTTTATTATTATTATTATTTACATATTTATTTTTTAGTGGCTAGCCAGTATGGGGATCTGCAACCTTGACCTTGATGTTATAATACTGGGCTCTAACCAAGTGATCTGATAGGCCAGCCCATTAATTATTTTTTTAACAGTCAAGTCTCTTAGAGGATAGAATATTTAGACGGAATGATTGTGTTCCTATTGTTCTTATGAAACATTCACTACAACAGGTACTAAATTAAGATATGCTTTGTGTGTTTTGTTATTTGGATCTTTTGGGGTTCATAACTGGGGCTTAACAGAAAGTGTCAGAAACTAAAACAAATGTTATTTTTTTCAATGTACAATTTTATGCTTGCCAGGGATTAAGGTTCAATTCACTGTCGTGAGAATTCAGCCTTTTGAAATTATACTTTTTGGAGAGTTTGAATGACTAAGGAGAAATCACACAAATGGCTTTGCTGCTTCAGAAGATCTTCTAATTTACTATGGATGTTAGAGTATATGTTTCAGACTTGGGGAATGGCAAATGACAGTAATATGTATGGCATTTTTTTGGATAGGTTTATGGTAATTCGGGAATTTTTAGTAAATGCAATAATGGTTAATATGGTACTTGGTATCCCACTTAACATCCTTATGTCCTACTAAGGGGTGAATACTTAGAATAATTTACAATTAGAATATATCTTTTCTGTCATTTCCTATTTAATATAGAATTTGTATTATTTTTTATAACTTAGTGCTTAAAATATTTGCCATTCTGACACAAGTATTAATATTGGTTGTTGATTTCTACTGTATTATACTGTATCAAGTATGAATATCATCAACATGATTAAATTTTAATGATTAGTTTAATGATCAGTCAGCTCATCTAATAATTATCCGGACACTGATGGTCTTTCTTATGTTTCACATTTGGGGTGTAATAATGATACATATGATTTAAGTTTCAAGTGGTAAGTAAAATCATCCCTAAGTAAAATATAACCTAGGTGAAACTAGATGTCCAATTTATTCACTTACTATGTTGACTTCAAATTTTCAGAATGTTAATTTGTGAAAATGATAACTATATATTAGGCCTGTCATTGGTTAGCATTATTCTTTTATTGTCGAGCTAATAATATAGTTGAGAAATTGAACTAGAATCTTATGTGTGATAATAACTGTAAAGTCTGATAACTTTTGCTTAATTCAGCTAGGATATTATAAACGAATTAGAATATAATAGTATTTGATTCATAAATTATTTTAGCTTATAAATGTATTGTGATCTGCAAATATATACTCTTTTTCTCCTTTAAATTGTAAGTGTACAAGTGAACATTAAACTGATTTTCTAATAATGAATTGCTTGACTAAAAATACTGTTCTATTGAGAGTAGAACTGGCAACTATTTTTAATGGTTAGCTTCAATGACTCTTGGCGTTCTCATATACCTTTGGTATTTTTCAGTTACAGCACTTAGCATATTACTTTTAATGATTGATTTATGGCTTTGTCATCCCTACCAAAGTTTGAGGTTTTTGAGGATAAGAACTGCCTTATCACCCTTATTTTCACAGTGGTTAGCACTGTGCTAGCACATGGGTGTTCAGTGTTTGAACTAAGAACATAGTGACTTTAAATATATTTAATTTCAAAGGACAGTATAAAACTCCAAGATTGCTCAGCACTATGTGAAGAGGAAGAAGAGGAAGATGAAGGAGAAGCTGCAGATATGGAAGGTATTCATATTTTAGATGTTCTTTAATTCCCGTAGAATATTGATTTGGAAATATTTGCAATTCATGTGGATTAAGAATTCTTCTCCATTGAGTTTTAAGTTTTAACATTTAGCAGCCTACGGAGGATTTTGTTTAGTTTAAATTTCATCATTGCAAAACTTATCTTAATCTTAGACTCTTCTGTTTTATCTAAAACTATAAAAGTGGCATGAAGTCATTAAACATTCACTACATTCCTCTACTTACTATGTCTCAATCAACCCTTTGTAAGTTGGAAATACTGCACTGTATTTCTGACTTACGATGGGTTTCTTATGACTTATCCCCACCATATGTTAAGGAGCATCTGTATACTGTATAAGATTATTATAAGAGTTAGGGAGAAAAATAAAGGAGGGAAAGAAATGGAGATCTGGGGGTGGGAATGAGTGTTGTAATTTTTAAATAAATTGGTCAAGAAAAATCTCATCGAATATGCATTTGAATAAAGCCTGGAAGGAAGCGAATGAACAAGCTGTTTGGATATCTGGGGAAAGAGTGCAAAGGCTCTGAGGCAAGTGCATATGTGGCTTATATAAAATATAAACTACTTCAAGGAGGCTCCTATGTATAGAGAAGAGGGAGGGGAGAGTAATAAAGGATAGAATTAGAGAGGTAGCTGGGGGCCTGCTTGTGTAGGGTCCTGACTTTAACTCAGAGTGAGACAAGAAGCCATGGAAGGTTTTCTAAGTACAAGAGTGACGTAATTTAATATTTTAACAGAATTACTGTGACTGTAGTGTTGAGAATAGACTGAAGGGAGAAAGGGACAACAATTAGGAGGCTATTTTGATAATCTAGCAAGAAACAGTGGTGGCTTGGGCCAGGGTCATGACATTGGTAGTGATGAGAAATATTTGATGGTAGAGCCGAAAGGATTTGCTGCTGGATTGCATGTGGGATTCTAAAGGCAGAGTAGTTAAGTGTGACTCCGGTATTTTTGACCTGAGCATCTGGAAAGATGCCATTAACTGAGATGGGGAAAATTAAAAGAATGATTAGCTTTGGTGAGTGTCAGGAGCTCGGTTTTAGTCATGTGATATTTGTAGTGCCCAATAGTCCAGCCAGTGGAGCCATAAAGTAAACAATTAGATACCCAAGTCTTTGGTGAGGGACTAAATTTGGGAGTCATCAGCATTTTGAAGCCATTTAGTAAGCATGGATAGAGAAGAGACAAGGTCCAAGAACTGAGCCCTTGGTTACTGCAGTATTTTGTTTTGTTTTGTTTTTAAAGTAGAGGCAATGAAAAAGAACCAGCACAGGAGATATTTAAGGAGGAGCCAATGAGGTGGGAGGAAAGCCAGGAAAATATGGCATCTTAAAAGCCAAGGAAAGAAAATATTCCAAGGAGGAGAGAATAAATCATGCCAGATGTTACTGAGAGATCAGTTAAGATTAATCTTGGAATTTATCCAGTTAGGGTGCATCAAAGAGGAGGTCACTGATGGCATTAATGAGCATGTTTTATGCAGTTATATAAGTAGCCTTGTATACACTGTAGAGTCACTGAGGACTCTACAGTATTATTATGCCAGTTAATACTGTGAATGGACTGTAGCACTGACCAGGCCTTAACAATGCTCAGGGTCTGGTCATGTAAAGTATCTACATAGAAGTATAGAATTAGCTCATTCATCTCTCTTCAATATCTTCAGTTAAAAATAAAAGTAAAACCCCAGTTTTTGAATAAAGTAACATAAAGTTTGGTTTTGAACTTGATTAATCTTTTGTTGCTTTTTATAACAGAATATGAAGAGAGTGGATTGTTGGAAACAGATGAGGTTTGTAAATTGAGTTTTCTTTTGTTAATTTTTAATGGATGAACTTGGGGTTAGTGTTCTTATTAATAATATATTGATCTTTCAAATCAACTTTTGTTTACATTGTAACATGTAAAATTTTAACTTTGAATTTTAAGTTCATCTACTTTGGAGAAAAAAAATATAGGATGGGAAAAATATATTTTCTAGAATGTCACATTCATACTGACTTAATGGTTTTAAATTTTTCTCCATTATTATGTGCCAGGCTACCCTAGACACAAGGAAAATAGTAGAAGCTTGTAAAGCTAAAACTGATGCTGGAGGTGAAGATGCTATTTTACAAACCAGAACTTACGACCTTTACATCACTTATGATAAATATTACCAGACGCCACGACTATGGTTGTTTGGCTATGATGAGGTAAAAATAAAGAGAAATGTATTTTAATGTAAATATTTTAAGTTGTTGGGGTTTGTTTATTTGTTTGTTTGTTTGTTTTTTGGACCCACTGTCACCAGAAAATTGTTGGGTTTAATTCTTTCTTTATTAGGTCCATGGGTATATATTGTGCTTTTTTGGAAATCATTTGTTTTACAATTTTCTGCTTAATGTTGAGCTTAATTCTCTCTTATTTTGAATAAACTATGAATTATTCAGTGTGACAACAATAATACTAAAAATTAAACAGAAATAATCTGTTACATAGTTTTTCCTTGGCCTCTAAGCTTATCTCTTCAGAATGTGTGGGAAATTGAACTTGGTACGTTTTATTAAATTTTGTTTGGTACTATATTTGTTGGATATACAAGCATTTACAAAATGATTATGTCACATGTATTTTTTCCCTTAAGAAAGGAAACCTTTTTTACTCATCTACATAATTGAATTAAAGGATAATTGAAATAAAATCAACTTGTTTAACTGGTTACTTTTATGACTGAAAATCGGAAACAAGAAAATAAAACAAAATAGGCCAAAAAGATGAGTTATAAAGTTATAAAATGTTTTGACAGCCACAAAGCTGCCTTTTTGTGGATCTTTTCGGTTTTAGGTGGTGGCTGATGTTGAATAGCTTAGATGCTCAGACTCCTTCCCCTCTCCCCTCCCTTCTGTAAATAAATTATAAACTTTCCCTAAATAATCTGATACTTCTAAATAGTGTGGAATTATAAATTGCAAATGATGTAGGATGGGATAAGTATATTATAAACATTGAGGTTTAGACTAAAAGTTTTTAAATAATAATTTCATAGCATTGTCTATGCTTTCAGCAAAGGCAGCCTTTAACAGTTGAGCACATGTATGAAGACATCAGTCAGGATCATGTGAAGAAAACAGTGACCATTGAAAATCATCCTCATCTCCCACCACCTCCTATGTGTTCAGTTCACCCATGCAGGTCAGTATATATACATACATTTGTGTATTTTGTGTGTGTCTGTGTGTGTGTAGATGTACTTCATGGGTTTATTACTTGGGAATCTTTAAACATAGTACCCTAAAAGAAAAAATTTACTTAATAAGCAGATTAAGTTCTCATTTTTCTTTTTCATAAATGTTCTTGTTAAGTATGTAGGAACAAGAGAAAAAAGCTCACCAATTTATTTTAAGTTTAATACATTAAGAATATTTTTTTGCTCTGTGTGTGTTTAGTTATAGAATAAATCTTTGTGATTTTACTTCTCTTTTTAGCTTAAAGAATAGTTTAGAAGATCCTGTCTTGGACTCACAAATACTCTTTATTTAGATACAGTTTGCTAGAGCATAAAGTTAACCTTGTGCTCTTTTTGGGTGACTTGTTTATGTCCTGTTATTGGTTAGTAAAGAGAAATATATGAAGAGTTTCTAACCTCCTTTATTCTTCAGTTGAGATGTCTTCAGCTTTATCAAATCAAGTGTATTTATAATTTGGGATTTTCTTTATATCAATGTATTTTCACAGGGCCAAATAAGTGAAGCCAAGCCTATATACATGATTTGTTCAGAATTTTTCTTTAAAAAAGTTATATGCTAATTTATTTGGGTTAGCTATTCTAATAGGTAACTTTCACAGTTCATTGAAAAGTACTGGTAACATGCTGGGAATGGTATTTTTCAATGAAAACTCTGATATTCCTTTCACTAAAAGATGAAACATTTAGTTTCTTCCTTCCCCTTTTCTAGTTAAAAAAAAAAAAAAAAAAGTTGGTTATTTTCTTCTCATTACCTATAAGCTCTTTATTCCCAACACTAAAAGATGAAACATTTAGTTTCTTCCTTCCCCTTTTCTAGTTAAAAAAAAAAAAAAAAGTTGGTTATTTTCTTCTCATTACCTATAAGCTCTTTATTCCCAAACTTTACCCCATAGTAAGCCTAGTTCATTTTCTCAACTTGTTTATGTCAAGAACTTTAATATTGCTAACTGTGAAAACTAATTCTAGGGTCAGTTTTAGTTTTGAATTCTAACAGGTTTTCATTTTTGAGAGTTATTGTGTTGGTTCCTCTTGTGGTTTTAACGGTCAGGATGGTGCTTATCAAACTGAGGCATGTCTCTTTCTGAGGGGTAAATTTTACAGTTGGGTGAAAGAGAGTTTAATTGTTAATTATCTTAAACTTTTTATTAAAATATATGACTGTGTTATAAAATGAGATGTAAATATGGCAAAAAGCAAAACAAAACTGGGAGCCTATAAAATGGAACTTCAAGGACATTTGAGGCCTTTCCATGGGCTGCCTCAGATTGTGCCTTCCATTTCTCAGAGCTAACTCAGAGCTAATCCTCTGATACTCAGCCCCACTCTCAACTTATAAGTTGACTGCATCTGTCTTGAAGGGTATATTCATGAAAACTTAAGTGGCATCGTTTAATCCAGGGTATGTATGAAGACTGTTTCTTTTATATGTTGCCTTTTTCTTAGTTTATGTGCCCAGACATTTACTTTGATACCACCTTTTTCTATAGCACAGGAGAGATACTAGTTAGCCATGAAAAGATCTGTGGATAGGACAGAAACTTCAGAAAAATACCTTTCTTTAAAAGCCAAAAAATTATTTTTAAATAAAATCCGATAAATTTTATAATATCCACTAGGACAAAGAAAAAAATAGAAACTTCTTGATTCTGACCAGTTATCTTTTCTTGAACCCTTTCAAGTTTGGGCTTATTCTCAGCTAAATATTTAAACAGTCAGAATCAAGATTGTAGATACCTCACTGCTTTTTTGACCAGCTGTTATCATGCAGCATCTTTGAATTTGCCTGGTCTGATTCTTTTTTGTCTCTCAGTGCAAACAGCCATTGTTCCAATTTTATCCACTGGCATGATTTTCCCTCCTCTGGTTTTCTGCCTCCCTTCTCTGTCCCCATTATCAGATACCTGACTCATGCCATTGTGTTCATTGTTACTACCATAGCTTTTTAAAATTACCCCCTCCCCCAATAAAACTATCTGCATGGCTCAACAATCTGACTTATGGGGGAGTAGGGGGATATTTTGTAATATATCTATTTTATGTTAAAAATTAATTTTGGTAGATTGCACACATGAAAACATGCTTTTCCTATTTTGATCTAATTGATCTACACTAATAAGATTTGTTCTTTGCTTTTAGGCATGCTGAGGTGATGAAGAAAATTATTGAGACTGTTGCAGAAGGAGGGGGAGAACTTGGTGTTCATATGTATCCTTACCTATATTTGTGTGATTGGTGGCAAAATGACTACTAGGGGTTTTTTTTGTTGTTTTTGTTTGTTTGTTTGTTTCTTCCTTTTTGGGAAAATTAGTGTAACCTTAATGCTTGGTGTTCATATGTATCCTTACCTATATTTGTGTGATTGGTGGCAAAATGACTACTAGGGTTTTTTTTTGTTGTTTTTGTTTGTTTGTTTGTTTCTTCCTTTTTGGGAAAATTAGTGTAACCTTAATGACACAGGATGTATAACTTATAACTTGTTTTAGCCCCTCATATATGGAAGTCCTAGTGGGAGCCTTTAATTTATTTAGGAAGTGTTATATTGTGATAGTTATGCCTTGTTTGGTTGGTTAGCACATGTCCCTCTGTGCACCAGTTGGCTCTACTTTGTTGCAGGGGTAACCTGCTAATTTAGAATAACATGAATATCATTTCCTTAGGTATATTTCCAATTTAACATGTTACCAAAATGTACCTTTCCATCAGGTAAAAGTATAGTTAGGTTGAGTTAATTTGAGATCTCCCCAAAGCAAAGAATTCAAGTTAAACAGGTTAATTAGAAAGTAAAGTACATGAAATACTTTAGCTATTTTCAAAATATAGTATTTTCATTTTTCTCCAGAGAAGAGCACCTTTCTTGTATCTTACTGTGGTTCTCTTAATCAGTTCTCTGGGATTGACAGTAGTAATAAAGTTAACGTCCAAGCAAACTGTTGGATCCCGAAATGCACATATTTATGGCATGGATTCATCAAAAGCAGTCAAAGTCAGTGATTTAGGTGCCAGATAGCTTAAATTGGTTTGGTGCTAGAATGATAACGGACTTGGTAGTTCATGCCACTTAGTATTAGACATATACTGAGGGGTCATCACTGTCTTGAAGCTACAGGTAACCTAACCATTGCTAATAAAGTGTGTCCCTCGGGGAATCATTGGGGTGATTTGACATTGAAACAAACCAAGAACTTTTAGTCCAAACCACATTTACTCCTGAAATCCTATTGTGCAGAAATTCCATATTCATCCCTGTGTTGGAGGCTAGAGAGCAACTTGGAAGACTGTCTCTATATAATTCATGATAGAGTCATTTCATTGGTTTCCCCAGCAAAATTAAGTAAGCTCTTGATGTTTCAAGTCCAATGGGACATAGAAAAAATTTTCGGATTTTATTAAAGACAGTATAGTATAGCAGATTTTATGCCACATACACATGTAGTTGGCCCTCTGTATCTGTGTGTTCCACATCCATGGTTTCAACCAACCATGGATTGAAAATATTTGGGAAAAAAATGGCGTCTGTACTTATCATGTACAGATTTTTTTTTCTTGTCATTATTCTCTAAACAATGCAGTATAAAAACTACATAGCACCCTCATATACGGGAGGATATTCATAGGTTATATGCAAAAATTATGCCTTTTTTGTCAGGGACATGAGCATCCATAGATTTTGGCATTTGCAAGAGGTTCTGGAACCAGTCCCCCATGGATACCAAGGGACAACTATACTCACCCAGAACCAGTCCATTGTGATGAGTTTCCATAATTTTTTCTATTTTGCTACAGTGCTGTTATATTCTGTCTTGCCTCATTTTTTTACATATTCTAGGAAACTTACGTGCAGTTAAGTGTGCCAAATAAATTAGTAAATTTTATACTCATTTAAAATATGGACACTGTTCTTATTTTTAAATCAAAGTTATTGAGCTCATATGAACTCCAACTTATTAGGAAGTTTCAAACTCAAATATTTGAATGGGTGGTTAGGCAGTCGAAGTTAAAGAGAGCCTTACGTTAAATAGACACAAATTTGTGTGATAGAATTTTCTTAATAAACTTGATGTAAGATTTTGTCATATAATTTTTCTGAGAAATTATGGATTAATGAAATGGGTAATTACAATGAAGGCTTAAAACAGAACAATTTACAAACCTTATTTTCCTTAGCTAAAGACCTTTAGGTATCTTCTAATTTTCTTGAAATTTGTACAAGCTGTCATTCCAACAATAGAATATGACTACACAAGACACTTCACAATGTAATGAAGAGAGCATAGAGTCTATCCTAATTATTGGTTCTGATTTTTAAAGAATTAACCCATAGATGTGACCATTGCCCATATTCACCAATATGTATAATTTCTCTAATAAAGGGACTTATATGTTTATGCATTAAATAAAAAAAATGTTCTACTACCAACCTTATTTGTTTAATAAAAATGAGTGTAAAGAGACAGTTTTTCTCAATTGTTATCAAAAGATTATATAATAGGATTTCCCCTAAATAACAATTCTTTGAGTGAAGATGTATCACATATAAAAGGACAGAATTTTTTGTTCCCATTTATAAGGAAGGAATTAAATTTGTAATTAGCGTCAAAAGTAGAATTTGAAAATCCATGCTAAACTATCTTCTCGTTTTTCTCTTTGTGATTCCTTTTGTTTTCCCTTTCTTACCGTCTTCCCAGTTGCATGTTTGGTAGTAGTAAATATTTATGAAGCACTTACCGTGTGCCAAGAAATATGCTAAGTACTACTACTTATAAGTTTATACCACCAAAATTATTTTTTTATTAAGGATTCAGGAATATTTCTTCTATTGTGGTTGCCTGGTAGAATACTAGAATTTAAAGGGATCCCTTTGTTGTATAATGTTAGTTTGTAGATCTGAATATAGTTCCGAAAGGCAAGTGTTCTACTCTGGGACACATACTGTGAGCCAAAGAATTTACCCAGGCCTTTGACTCTTCCCTTCACATTCTCTCTGTACCCCCACATTGCCTCTCATCCCTGTTTTTTCTAGTCTGCATAAAGTGGAGGGTAATCCTGCCTCCAGGGAGCCATAGTTTTTCATGTTTTATTTTTTTTCTTATCGTTAAAGAGCATTCTCCTTATCTTTGGTGCCTCTTTGTTTTCCTCCCTTTTCCAATTGTAGTCTAATTCTTGTGTTGCGAGGAAATCTCCGTAATTAAAATAATGACTTGGTGGAGGTAATATGGTGTTTGATATGGTATAATATGGAGATATAAACGTGGATGTCATCCTCTAATATATTTCAAATATCCTACTTGCTGATGTAGCCAGCAAGCTACTCTCCTTTCTTAATTTAAATTCATCTTCTAAACTGATTTTACTGAAATATTTTATTTTTGAGTACCTTGATCTAAAATTTGAATGTTCTCCAATATTAGATGTTGTCACATTGTCAGCATTTTTCTCCCAGTTAAGTCTTATTTATCAAAAGTACAGAAACCCACCCTCAATTCTTTTTTTTTTTTTTTTTTTGTTGGTTAAGTAAGTAGTCATATTTATATCAGTCACTACTAGCTAGCATAAATTTTTTGGTCAAACCTGTTTAGTTTCAGATCTGTCTTCCAGTCAATGTGTTTGTTATGGATCTCTAATATATAAACAAATGTGAGTTTGCTAATGGTATAAATGTGTTTTTATGAGTTCAGATTTATAGCACTCATTGAGAACTTCTTTTTTTTTTTTTTTTTTATTGTTGGTTAAGTAAGTAGTCATATTTATATCAGTCACTACTAGCTAGCATAAATTTTTTGGTCAAACCTGTTTAGTTTCAGATCTGTCTTCCAGTCAATGTGTTTGTTATGGATCTCTAATATATAAACAAATGTGAGTTTGCTAATGGTATAAATGTGTTTTTATGAGTTCAGATTTATAGCACTCATTGAGAACAATAATTTGATGAGCCATGGAGTTGTTTTGATGTGCTTGAAATTGAAATTTAGATTATAGATAATTTTATAAGCCTTCACATCCTGTTTATTTTTAATTTTAGTTCTGTAGTTTTTTAAAACATCTGATTCACATAAATACTAGCAAATGGTAATTAAAAAAATTTTTTTAACTTTTTTTTTTAAAACAATTTTGGATTTACAGAATACTTCCAAAGGATAGCACAGAATCCTGTACACCCTTCACCCAGCTTCCTCTAATTTTAATATCTTACCTACCATGATATATTTATCTAAACTAAGAAATTAACATTGATACAATACTATAAACTATAGATTTTATTCACAATTCCCTGTTTTTTCCACTAATGTCTTTTTTTTAATTCCGGAATCCAATCTAGGATACTGCATTGAATTTAGTTGTCATGTCTCCTAGTGTCTTCCAATCTGTGACAGTTTCTCAGTCTTTTACTGTCTGTCATGACCTTGATACTTTTGAAGACTAATGGTCAGAAATTTTGTACAGTGTTCCTCAGTTTGGATTTGTCTGATATTTTCTCATAATTAGCCTGTAGTTAATGAATTTTGGGAAGAATACCACAGAAGTGATGTGTCCTTGTCTTTTCATTACGTCATGATAGTTAGTTTATGGTGTCTGTTAGGTTTCTGTACTGTAGTTATTTTTTTCTTTCCATTGTTAGGAATGAGTCACAAAGTATATAGAAGTTTATAGCCTCAAGGGGAGAGGAATTAATCTTTGCTGCCCAGGGAAAGGAGGGTCAAAGAATGTGTGACCAGCCATGTGTTAAAACCACCAAAGTAATTAGTTAATTTAGGGAGACTTGCCTGAAACGATTATTACTGTCTATTTTGCCTATATCACACTTCCTTGATTTGTAGTAAATGCTGAAATCAGTTAGTACGAGCCCTCCAGCCTTATTCTTTTAAAGAATTGTTTCAGCTATTGTAGTTTTTTTGCCTTTCCGTATACAGTTTTTAGAATCAGCTTATCTATACAAAAAAAGCTTACTGGGTTTTTGATTGGAAGTGCCTTGTGTCTATAAATCAAGTTAGGGAGAATTCACATCTTAACAGTATTGAGTCTTCAAATATATTAATACAGTATATCTCTCCATTTATTTAGGTTTTATTTTATTTTATTTCTTTCATCCTGCACATATTTTGTTAGATTTTATACCTAAGTACTTTGGGGCTTTATGGTGCTATTATAATTTTTTTTTAATTTCAAATTCCTGTTGTTTATTCCTTGTACATAGGAATACAATCGGCTTTCATATACTGATTGACCTTGTATTCTACAACCTTGCTAAAGTCATTTTTAATTCTAGTAGTTTATTGTAGATCCTTTTAGATTTTCTACACAGACAATTATGTCATCTGCAAATATAGACAATTTTACCTCTTTGTTTCTAATTTATTTGTTTTTTCTTGCCTTATTGAACTGTCTAGGAATTCCAGTATACAGTTAAATAGGAGTGATGACAGGATACATCTTTGCCTTGTTCCTAGTCTTTGAGAGAAAGCAGTTTCTCACCATTAAGTAGAATATTACCTGTAGTTCTTCGTAGATGTCCTTTGGTAGGTTATGGAAGCTCTCTTCTAGTTCTAGTTTACTGAGAGTTTTTCCCATGAATTGTGAATTTTTCCAGTTTTTTTCTTACATCTATTGAGATGATCATATTGTTTTGTTTTTTTAGTTTGCTAATTTGGTAAATTACAGTGATAATTGAAGCAGCCTCACACTTCTTAATGAACCCCATAGTATTATTTTTATATATTGGTGGATTCAGTTTCCTGAAATTTTACCGATTTTTCCTTCTGTGCTCATGAGGGATATTGGCCTGTAGTTTTCGTGTAATGTTTTTGCCTGATTTTGGTTTTTGGGTAACACTAGCCTCGTAATATGAATTGGGAAGTTTTTCTTCTGTTTTCTAGAAGTGGTTGTATAGATTTGTAATCTGCCAGTGAAAGCATCTAGGCCTAGATATATTTCTGAAAGTTTTTAAGTATGGTTTATTATATATAGGACAATTTCTTCCTGGGTTAGCTTAGTAATTTATGTTTCTGAAGGAATTTTGTTCTATAGTGGAGATAGAAAGGAAAGATCTTGGTGGAGTTTTTGCCCCTCATACATGGTTGCTGTTCCCCTCCCCTGGGTCTGCACCGCAGTGGACACTTCTTTGAATTCTTTCTAATCCTTTCTGTGGGTGCCAGGTGGAGTTCGTGAAGGAAAAGCCTGTAAGAGGATGTGGACTCTTCCTGGTATCCGTAGTTGTGCTCAGAATCCTAATGGGATGCATTTCCCATTCTCCTTCTGCCAGAGGCCCCAACCAAATCCCTCTAGACAGACACTAGCATCCAATTTACAGTTTATGTTTGGCATCAATACTCCTATACCTGTTTGACAAACAATTTAGTTTTATCAAATGCCTCTTGCTGAGGTGTATTCCAATCCCATCTAGCCTCCTTATTTGCCCTAGCATAGAGGGGGTCTCAAGAGTTGTGCTAAGTGGAGGATAAATTGGCTCCAGGAGCCTAATGGACTTACAAAAATTAGTAAGTCCTTCACAGTTTTTGGTATGGGAAAAGCTTGTTCCTTATCAGTCATAGCCTCTGGCATAACTTTTGTCTTACCTGACTAGGTAACTTCTAGGAATTTTACTACTGCCTAGGCTTTTGTATCTTGTCGGCATGTATCTCTCCCTGGGTCTTAAGTGCACCTGTAGACACTGCTGCTTGGGAGAGAGAAGGCAAATCATCACTGGTTAACATGACATCATCAGTATAGTGATGCATTTGTAGGGACACATCCATTCTCCATTTTTCTTTACCTAATTTATTTATTCTTAACAATTATATTTGAATTGCTCATAGGAAAGAAAGCTAGCCATTTAAGGTATCTGTATAGCTCTGGGGGAAGCCAAGCAGCCAATCCTCAGCTTTAGCTCGGGAACAAATCAGGCATGTGTCAAGAATATCACAGAAACAGCAATTTAAAACTAGTTTCATCTATCAGAGATTACTAGAGTCATGTGACCTTAGAAAGCACTTAGGCTATTAATGTGTACTCATTTATAAGCCAATTTGGTAGCATGTTGACAATATACAAACGTGTAGATGTCAGCATACATGTAGACACAGCATACAGCTTACACATGTTTACATGTACACATAAAAACACAAAGATCTTATAGCTTTAAAGCAAGGTAGCAAATTTATAAGATTCAACGAAGGTTGAACCTACTAATGACTTTTAGGGCTTGGAGAGTGTCTTAGTCCATTTCTGTTGCTTATAACAAAATACCTGGAACTGGGTAATTTAGAAAGAAAAAATTTATTGCTTACAGTTTCTGAGGCTGGAAAGTCCAAAGCCCAAGGAACCACAACTGGTGAAGGTCTTCGTAGTGGCAGCAGTGATGGCAGGGTATCACATTGTAGGTGGTGGAGTAGACAGAGCCAGACTCTCCCGTAGTGGCAGCAGTGATGGCAGGGTATCACATTGTAGGTGGTGGA